CCGGGTATTGTAACGCCCTTGCTTTACTTAAGGAAACATGGCTCTGATGATATTTCCCTTGATATAAATTCACATCTTGAAACCTTAATCGCTGAATTCATTGAATTAAACCTACAAACCTCTTTTTCATGAAGCAATAAGTACATTCTTAATAAAAAAGAGAACGCATGCGAATTTACACCGTGTTCATAAATCAGTATGACGATAACAGATCATTTTTATTAGGAATTCATAATTTTCGTTAAATATAGGTCTACGTAAGATTTCCGTGAAATATTAGCATAGATTGCCTTAGAAACGATAGTTTGCCAGGTCAGGAACCTAAGACAGAACAATTAAATCGAGGGGAGACGGTCATGCCCAATTTATTTGACTGCATTTCGTTAACTATTTAAACTTAATTGAAAGGAACGAAATCGGTAAAAACGTTGCCTACGATTCAACATCGAATTATATAAATACTTTAAGGCTACAAATATGGCCGGTCTTTTACAAATTTCCACCAAACCCTATTTTGAGAGGCTACCTGTGGAAAATACCGACCGGTCAGTGGTCGGTGGGTTCGATCTTTTTCGTAAACCCTATTAAGATTGCATTCTGGAATTGCAATCCTCCTTGATAGCTGACTATAAACTCATAATAAGCGATCCAAAAGATTTGAACTAATGTCTTGATCGGTTCTTGTGTGTTTTGATCTTTTGCTCGGCGATTCGAATTCTGAAGTAAAAAAATGGCGGCTCTTTGATTTCAAATTTTGTAATCACGACACGACTCCATATATGGCTTTGGCAGAATATCGAGATGGAATCTTCTTGGGAGCCAAACAGATAAAAATCCGATACCGTGACTATAGTACTGTGACCACCTGTATACTTTGTCTGTATAATTACAATATGAGAGCCTACTATTGCCATTATAATTTGATTTTAGTTGAGGACCATGTTCATTGAGAATGTATAGGTAGGAGGAGGGGTCATGGCTACAAATAGTGACGAGTCCGATGATTCGGATGGGGGATTCATCTTGCCAGGTGTTAAAGAAACACTAAAGAGCATTCTTGAACAGTACCCTAACAATGGACAGATTCTAAAGGTAAATAAAATATTAGCATAGCTTCTGGTTCTAACATCTAATTTGATAATTCTATTCGAAACACTATTAGAATTCTATTTGTTCAACACTGCACGGGGTGTCATCGAAAGATTTGTTTAGCTTGGGGGAGCATGCTGTTTTTCATAAAACACTAAGAAAACTTCGAAAATTATTTTCTAAATCCTATGTTTCTTAAAATTAACTACTCTACGCAATGAGTATATCATTTGCAGATAACACTCACTTCTCGTTAAAGTCCAATAACGCTAAGAGTATAGCTATTGAAAATGGCGCCAGAGTATCACACTCTAAAATGTACCATTCTTTTTATCGTACCTAATAAAGGTACGATATTGTAGTCAGCTTGACGGGCGGCGGGCGGGCGGCGGGCGGGCGGCGTCTCACTTTTCAGCTTGTCTACAGGCTTCCAGCCAAACCATTTGACGGATTCATCTGAAATTTTCAGGGATGTTTCTACGTATCAAAGTTAAGAACTGATTAGTTTTTGGGCATTCTGGGTAAATTTTAAGGTGGCCATTTTGGATTTTCCGTCCTAAAATCTTCACTTTCAAGACTTGAAAGACTACAGGTTTCCAGCCAAACCATTTGATGGATTCATCTGAAATTTTCAGGGATGTTTCCACGTATCAAAGTTAAGAACTGATTAGTTTTTGGGCATTCTGGGTAAATTTTAAGGTGGCCATTTTGGATTTTCCGTCCCAAATTCTTCACTGTCACACTGCTGTGTTTTAGGTACGATATTGTTCACGTCTGTGCCTTGTTAACTTTATAATGGCACGATATATTGACATGATAATATTTACATATGTTTTAACTTTTCAGCATAACTCTGAATGTATTAATAAGATCTAGATGTATTGGGTCTTTTAAAAAAATTTCTATAAAATGATGTTTAATTTCTTTGTCCTGCGTGGGGGAGCAGTTTTGCATTTCATGTTTGAAACTGCTCCCCCAAGCTGGACAAAAAATAAACATTATTTTCAAAGAAAAAATTTAAAAGACCCAATACATGTAGATCTTATTAAAACCTTCAGAGTTATGCTGAAAACATATGTTAATATTATCATTTCACCGTGCCATTAAAAAGTTAAAAAAGAAATGGTAAGCTTTAGAGTGATTTTCGTCGTTTTCAATAGCTCTTTGCGTTATTGGACTTTAAAGAGAAGTGAAGGTTATCCGCAAATAATATACCCGTTGCATGCTCCCCCAAGCTGGACAAATCTTTCGATGACCACCCGTGATAACATATTAAATGTTGCACATACAGTATTTGTATGGGGGATTTTACTAAATGATCATCTGATACGTCTTATTCTTCAGGAGATAATCCAAAATGCCGAAGATGCAGGTGCAAGTGAGATCAAGTTCTTCTTGGATACCAACCCTGATGAGACATCAGGGGAATTGCTCAATGATGGACTCAGGCAGTTTCAGGTAAACCAGAATAAGTGTACCAGGTCGCTCAATAAGTTCATAGAAAAATTCATTAATTCTTTAATATTCTTTTCATCTATCTTTTTCAATTATAAAGGATTGTATTTCTCACAAAGGATGTATTTTCTCAATATACTCAAAGCACACGAGAGCGTGTAGGCTTTGATACTATATACAGGGTGGTCCAAAAACAGGCTACAATTTTCTTAATACATGCATGAATTGGCTCATATTATCACATGTTGTAGAGAAAGGTCTTAGACTTTGGTTGATGCCATAATTTATTCTCAGTCTTAAATTTTGAAAAAATAACAAGCGTTTAAATTAGATATTGTACAAAATTTTACAAATGTGATTCACGGAAATTGTTGAAACACATTGGATGATCTTAAACAGCTTTCAGTTAGAGATACAAGTTTTAAACCCTACCATATGACAAAAGGGACACTATTCAAGCAGAAAACACATTTTACACTTTCATTGATGATTTTGAAGCATTTTTAACTGTTCATCAGTTCAGGGGTATGTTACCTATACCAACAGTTAGAGGGGGCCTCTTATGGAAGGAAGTTTCCCCCTGTGACCAGGAATCTGATAACCGCTTCATCAAATATCTTTAAAAAATCAAAAGAAAATCCAATATTCAATGTTTTGAGCCATATGTCATTAGAATTGGTCCATGATTTATGAAGATATTGACATTTCAAGATCATATAGGGGTATGTTCAGGATTTCACTGGAAAATGTTTTCGTGTTTGGAAGCTTAGCACATCTCTTTGGATCACAATAACTTTGCAACTAACAAATGTAGGATGCTAGTTTTAAGCCATAATGTGCAAGATTTAAAATTGAACAAAGTCAGAAAATATTAGTTTTTTAAGACTGCAGCTTAAAAAAATTTCAGGGGAAAGGTGTTAAAGGGTTGAAGAATCGCGGATATCGAAAATCACAGTTTGTCCATTTTCAGTAATGTTTGGTAGGGCTTATCATTTCTGCAAATTTCAAGACTAAGAAAAATGTATGGTACCAACATTTTTAGACCTTCCTCTACAACATGTGAAAATAAAAATAATTCCTGCAAGTAATAAGGGAAATATGGCCAGTTGCAGGGGTTCACTCCTTTTTGGACCACCCTGTATATTCTGCTCGAGAAATTCCGAATTGGAACGAGACGAAGTCGAGTGCCAATACAGAATATCGAGAGCAGAATCCTGTATTGCACTTCAAATCATTCTCATTCTTAGGTTTTGTATGTTTTTAGCTCATGTCAGTGATCAATTGTGATCACCTACGCCGGCCTTTCTGTCAACATAAAGGGCATTACATAGATAATACCCAGATGGTTTGAAGTCCCGAGAAAAATCATTAAAAAGCCAGACACTTTTGTCACTGAAAATCTTTTCATTTTATCATCACCCCGGATTAAAAAATGTGTCACTTGAGTGAAATCAATTATAGGGGCCAGCATTGTACGCCTTCAATAATGCGGTTTTTGCCAAGAAGGACTGGGAAGGTATACGAAGTTTAGGAATCAGCATTAAGAAGGATGATCCGATTAAAGTGGGGCGATTTGGACTGGGATTCAAATCTGTGTTTCATATAACAGGTTGGTATTGTTATTCGTAATATTGTAATTGTAACTTGTAATAATTGTATTATATATATACTTTCATCTATATTGTTTTAGAAAACACATCGGACACTTGCAATTGTTTTATTCTTGGTATCATGTTTCCAGAGTGAAATGAAGCATCTTTCCGAACCTCATTGGCACAAAACGACATAAACGCAACATGTTTAGGTCTCTCAATATTGTAAAAGTATCTTGTGAAATGAAATAAAACGTTCCTATTGATTTTTATCTATTTTTGGGGATTTGTTTTAATTTTTTGAATACTTTTTTAAAAATTCCTTTGTATAACTATAATATTGAGAGGTCTAAAACATGTTGTATTATGCTATTTTGTTCCAACAAGGTTCGGAAAGACATTTTATTTCATTCTCAAGAATTGGTAGAAAGGAGCAAAAACAAATGCACTAAAAAAATAAAAAACAAAAACAGTTATATAAAATATTTCTAAATAATTTTCGCATTAAATTGTTGTCAATCAGTCAACATTACATAAAATACTGTGTTTTTTACAGAATGTTTTCAATGATCGGTTTAAGAGAAAAACATTGTTGAATGCAGTTCTCCATATCGATATCTCTCCTTTATTTTTTAATATTATGATACATTTTAATATTATTATACATTTAGAATGCTAAGTGTAGGATAATAATCAATGACAGATAACCCTTCCCATCAGAGGAAAGTTTATTAAAGACTTAAAACATATCAAATAAAAGAAACCGTGTCCTCAGTTGTTGAACATAAATCTTCCAAAATCTCATCAAAACAGACTTTACTGAGATTATATATTGAATTTAATTAGGAGCTTGATTTCACTGATTTCAGATTCCCTATTAGACTTTTTCCTAAGCCAAACGAGATGTCGTCTGAATTAACAAGCCAATGTTATAACATGGATGAGATTGTTTACTTGCTGATGTCCCTCAACCAGGATGCTGAGCTCATCCTGTTGTTTATGAAGACGCTGAACACCATAACTGTCTCTATCATCGGCAACGTTAATGACCAAACCCTTCTTAATGTATCTCTGACAATTGATGCAAGAAATGACCTTAATTTTCTCGAGTCAATCAAAAGCAGACAGCTCCTTCTAGACAACCCAGATGTCGCAACGTATGATCCAGTTACAATGTTATCATTGGTCAGAGTTAAGGTGGAAACCTTAGGGGAGACAGTTAAACATAAAACGTGGCTTGTATGTCACTTGTATGAGATGTCCGTGCGCTTGAGGAATCTTATACGAAATGAAAAGGTGGGCTTGATTCCACTCGTGGGGTGTGCCATGGACGTCAGCGAGAATTATGGTAACTGCTTTTTAGTATAAAAAAGTTAACTAAGACAAATGTATTTTAATAACACAATCATTCAGAATTGGTTTAGAGTTATATTTGAAATAAATAGGCCTTATTCAATGTTATTTTATCATATCTATTGGCCAATATATGACCACGATTTTATGGTCATTTACAAAACATGCTTCAAATGAGAGGCATGACACAAGATATGTGAGCTGGTGTAGTGGACATTGCACAACTTCACCCAAAACGTTCAAGTTTGCCTCCAGACACGACGCAGGGATTTTACAGAATGTTTTGTAAAATGGCCATTAAATCTTGACCATTTGTGTAGACCAATGGATCTTGCATGTAGAATGAAAGAACTTTGAACAAGGTTTAATTGCGCTAAACATAACTGTATGACAATGCTGCTCGACTGATTTATTAACGTTTGTTTGGGTTACCTTTTTTTGGCTCACCCTGTATGGGTACTATAAATCGTATGATGGATCATAACATGGAAGACGAAATAAATACTACCTCGGACGAAATTAGTCAGGTGCTCTTTCTGTTACATCTTTATTATAAAAGTACTGTTTTTGATGAACTTTTGAGTTATCTTGATATTTTTTTGCCATACAAATTAAATTTTGAGAAGTGATTGTTGTTGAGAAAAAATCGGCATCGTTTTTATCAAAGAAATACTGTGCATAGAAAAACAAGCTAAGTATCTCCTTTTATAACAAGTAAAGCAACATAAGTACATTTCTAATATGGTTTATATTGCGTTATACAAAGATTTGACAGAATTATTGATACTGATCAATTTTCAAATATCATTTCAAAATGACTAGATTATGTGAAAGTTCATTTATATATGAAGTTTGAGTGTGCCAGGTCGTTCAATAAGTTCACGGAAAAATGCTCTCATTTCAAGGATTGTTGATATTTTTCATGAAAGAATGGGTATCGATATGGCGAACTTTTTGAACACACGTTTCTCTTAAACCAGTCATCAAAAATTTCTGAAAATCTTACAAATTGTT